GGGGGGGGGGGGGGTAAATTAATGACATTGTTGAGATAATTTGTAGCATTGGTGTTAAATAATTTCAACATGTTAGGTGCTTTCTTCTTATGTGCAAGCCATTTTACCTTATGAATAACGTATGTAGTTCGAACATATATAATTATAATTTGATATTTGATAGCTTCAGCCATTTTAATCTTGCTCCATAGGTATTACACCTTATTTGCTTTCTACTTGCTTTCATGGAAACAACCACAGCATCACCTATGCCCTAATAGATTTAATATATCTTTTTCCTCATTGATAGGGTGGTCCTTTTGCAGTAACTCATAATACTATTTTATTGTACAGGTGGTCAAGCAAAGACACTTATGTTTGTGCAACTTAACCCTGAAGTTGCTTCATATTCAGAAACCATGAGCACATTAAAATTTGCTGAGAGAGTATCTGGAGTTGAGCTAGGCGCTGCTCGAAGTAGCAAAGACGGCAGGGATATCAGAGACTTGATGGAGCAGGTGCTCTATTAACTTTCTAATTCTACTAGATTAGAACCTTTTAAATGTTGCTCTTGAATTGATGATGCAATATTTTTCTTTTCCGGAGTCCAATTACTTAAACGTGAATCTGATTAACCCCTCTCAAGTAAATTACTAAATTGGAGCAAAGAAGAGGATTTGGTTATTTAAGTAAGTTAGACAAAAGGTGAGACTATGATCATGGCAATGATACTAGTTGCCTGGTATGAGTTAAAGGACCAGAATATAGTGTAGTTTGGCTGCTGAGTTTCTAACTTGCATATTTAGGTAAAAATAGAACTACCTCTTGCCATCACAAATATCGCTTAGGTGATTCACAGATTTTAATCTTGTAAGGATGTGCATTAATCATCCTCCTCCTGGTCATCATCATCATCATCATCATTATTACGTTTCAGACACACCACTTATTTTACATTAATGATGATAAAGAAAAGTTAACATTGTTTGAGGATATAGAACGGAGGATTTTCCATCACGCAGCTACATTCTACTATCTGACTGATGCTTTTCTTTCTTATTTTCCAATTAAAGAAAATTGAGTGAGAGATGATATGCTGCCTAACTTAGAGTTTCCTGCGCTGAAGCATGTCAAATGCTGTCCATTGTTAACTTTTAATGTTCCAGGTCGCGTCTCTCAAGGATACAATAGCTAAGAAAGATGAGGAGATTGAGCAACTGCAGCTTCTCAAAGATCAAAAGAATGTTTCCCCAGAAGCCAATGGTGAGAAACGCAGTCCAAATTCATTCAGGTATGGTGCGTCATCTCNAATTCATTCAGGTATGGTGCTTCATCTCCAGGAAAATGTTTATTTGGTGGGACTTAGATTGTAGTTTGAAATTTTCTATTTACTGAGAAAGCAACTTCTGATGAGGCTGCTCAAAGAGTAGTGATCAGAATTATTTAGTTACGTGACGAGTTTAGACACCAAATGGAGTCCCTCCAGCAGTCTCCATCTGAGACTGCTCGACGGATTCTAAATCAGAATATTTCTGCAGATGCTGATATCTTTGTGTTCAGCGACGCAGATAATGAGGAAAGACTAAGTGATATGCTATCTGATAGTGGTCTTTCTGTGGGCACAGAAACTGATGGATGTGCTGAAAGCATCAATCCTTTCCCTGAAGGAGACAAACCACCAAAGAACACAAATAAGTAAGTAAATATCATCCCATCATGCTTGTGCTTTCTACAGAATGTTAATTTTATGAAACATAAGAGAATAAATAAAGATCTCAAAGCTTTATTTTATATAGAAACTAAACTATCATGTGAAACGTTGTTATTAACTACATGGAAAAGGTAAGGCAAGTTGGTTGAGAATTCAAACAATACTTATTGCACTAAAGAACCTGGAACTTTGTAGACTTAACTCACCCCCTTTGAATTAAGGTATTCCAACTTCCGGCAGCGAGCCGGCTCAAAGCCTAGGCAAGTAAGGCATATGCCTTAGGCTCCCAATTTTAAAAGGAATAGGTTATGTGTTAATTTTTCCTTAAAAAAGTTAAAGCATTTTATTGTAAAAATTTGTCATTGTGAAGTTGATGTGACTGTTGAGGGATGGAATAATCCTCTAGGGTAAAGTAAACATATCTTTATAATTTCCTTAAACTTGATGTAACCTTCATTTTGCATTTTTTACATTCTTGCCACTAAAACCTATAAGTATTATTTTAAAAAATTGAGATTGCTAAATGATGAGAATTTGAAGGGAAAAAAATATTGTATTAACTTTTGATGATCCTTAAAGCATAATAGCCACTCTAATATTGATGGCTTATACTTGTATTTTGAGTTAAAAGTGTTAAGAAAAATTATACAAATAGAAGATAATATACTTAATTACATAAAAAGGCTTGATTCTGTTATAAATGCCTAACAGTTGTCTCAACGGAAATAAGTTTTTCAAAATAAAAATATATTAGATCAGAAACGTCTCAAGAGTAAATATATCGGTTAGCTATATTATCAATTGAAAAATAGTTACTAAAAAAATCGATTATAAAAAATTTGGGCCTCTAATTGTAGTCACGCTTTAGGCCCTCAATTATGTCGAGTCGCCCCTATCCGGCAGTGTTGAACTGGTGCATGTTTTTGCCGTTTATATTGAGCTAATTGCTTGACTATCATCTTATACGATCTTTTGCAGACATAAAGCTATATATAAAATTCCTAGATCACCACAAAAATCAGTGAGGGATTCTCCGAAAGTCTCAAATGGTATGTTGATTAAGCATGACATGTTTAATGACTACAAATAAGCCAGTCCCTTGGCTAAAGATTAGTGGTGTAATTGGAATTTCCTCAATGTTTCAGGTCTGGGAAAATCGGTCAGTGCAACTAATTTGTTGGCCAAACCTACAAAAAGGTGGCAGTAATATGATGTAGTTGCTGTATTTATCAAATTTCCTTCTTTCTCCTACAGTCCCTTGCATGAAAGTTTTCCTACATTGTACAGATTCTTTTCATTGACCAGAGAGTCCCCTTTTAGTGTCTAGGACTATACATGACCCTTTTATGTTTTTTGCTTCAATAGTGTTACTCTTTTTTTTTCCCTTTCTTTTATTAGGATATAGTACACTCAATTCTTTTATGTAGGTTATTATTTCTCCATAAGGAATTCAGCTAGTAAATCTTGTATAAAGCCTATCGAGTTGTAACATACAAGTGTTGTTTTATCAGCAAATTATCTTTTGGTTACTCATATACTGGACATGCTTCAACATGTTTCGACGAGAAACCTCTAGCAGCATTTCGAGTTGTAGAAATAAGTTACTGCTTTTCGAAAAGTAAGGTCAGAGACAAGAGTTACAGTTCATTTTGGTAAAGAACTACATACTAAAAGCAAATCTTGCAAAGGACAAAAAATATCTGGTGTCAATCTTGCTTGATTAGTGATTTCGCACAAGTTTCACCACCTAATTCTACTTTAAATTTTATTAAAAATTCATCCATTTGTTGTGTAAGGTATTTAATCCCACCAATTCCTTATGGTAAAACAAGAAGAGATTATTTGAAGCAAGCAAGAAGCCTACTCCCATCGAAAACATTCAAAAGCAAAAAATGGCTTAACTAAGCATACTGTACTACTTATTATATATAAGTAACAATTATATTTTAAATCACCAAATTTCTGAACGACATATCGTTATAGTCAACTACGTGAAAGAATTTTTTTTAAAATAAAGTATCCGAGGGTGGACAATTCAGTGAGTAAAGCGCAAAAAAGCACCTATTACTGAAACATTCATCCCTATTTCCAGGTTAGTAAAGTGACAATAAGGCTCTTCTTTTGGAAATACCTTGAACTATTCTTGGAATTTTATATGTTAATGGTTGCAGAAGGGAAGAAAAAGAACTAAAAAATGTAGTTGTGGGTGGACGTCTATGTACACTATGGATGGACTAAACTCAAAAGTGAAAGCAAAGCAGGCTCAAATCTGCCAAATTCATCAAAAAGATAGTTGTAAGCAAAAGGTATAACATCATAATGGGGGACCAAACAATTTAAGGCTGAGATATAATTCTAAGTAGGATTGATTCTACTTATAGTGTAGACATGGGCTATGGTTACAACGATAAGACCTGTACCTAGGTTAATCAAAGCAAACACATACCAAACAGATTACCAGACTCACGGTATTCTTTAAAAATTAGTTATACGATATGCATATGTGTCGTTTATTATTCAAGAAATTGATAAAAAAATCGTTAAAGATCATGTTTAAATCCTCACAGAAACAAAAACTGTCAGTATGTGATTTCTTTCCATTTACTTAAAACAAACTAAATGTGTAATAGTCAAGAGGGAGACCGTTTTTGGAAAGTACGGGAGCCGTAGAAACCCCACCAATTTGTCATTGTTTTATTGTGTTTGTCTAGCAAAGAGGTGGCCAACCCATCAGCAGAGCCAGCCTAGCCTTTAGACAAACTAGTCAGCAATCAAACTTTCCTTTAATTGCAGACGACAAATTGCTAAACATATCATCCCACGCCTCTTATATTCCTCCTTAATCCTAGGGAGGATCCATTGGACAGTTCAACTCAACTAATTTAAATAACCATAAACAAACATATGAAAGCAAACCAAGCCACGTAGTCTCCAATGTTTCCTTATCACAAAATATTAGTAAAATATTTCTTTGCAAACTCAACTTTGAGCATTCACCAATTCTTTATAGCAAACAAATCATGACACACCCTTTAGAGAAGTTCAAAATCTCTGAACAGAATCACATAATAGTGGCGATAATAACGCCACTGAATGGACCCATTAGCTCTTTGTAAACATTAAATAATTACATGAATCATAGTCAAAGTTGAAAATAATCACTAGCGAGTCACTAACACGTGCTTTACTCCATCTGTACTGCACTATTATTACTATTATTATTAACAAAGCAGCAGCAGGCCAAGAATAGAAAATTAGCAGTACTAGAATACAAGAATGAATTTCTAAGAAGACCATCTTTTTCCTTCAGATTACAATTACAATGAAGGACGGGTGACAAACTTTTCAGTCACAAAGAAAGAACCTCTTCTTGAGTCTTCATACTACAATAAGTATTCTCAACTCATACCTTGTTCTAACGCTATAAAAGAACCCTAGTCACTCCCAAAGAAAAGATACCAATCTTTTGGCCTATCTCTTACTTTGGGGGTACATATTACAGTTTTATTCTTTCGGATCTCAACTTAAAACACTCATTCATCACCTTGTCACAATATACACACATTACTGGATTTGAATGATTAGATAACAAAACTCATCAGCAAATTGGACTAAACCCTCCTCCTGTTGCTCTATATATACAATACTAAACGAATTGGTGTAGTTTTCTTGCCTCTTTCCCAAAAATCTCTTCTATTTTTTATTCTTTTTTCAACATCTCTGTGTCAAGGGATTTACCTAAGCTACAGCTGAGATGCTGCAGCTGCCGCGACAATTGAAGCCTTCAATCCTCCTCACAGGAGCTGGCTTATTCCCGAATTTCACTCGAACAAAGCCTCCTCCGCTCATAATGGTGGAGGAGGGTGCCGGTGGCGAGGGCGCCACTGCTCTTTCCGGGACTGGTAGTATAGGAACAAAATTGTGGTTGCCAAACTGAGCATCTTGGATCAGGGGATTCCCAGCCCTGCTAGGTGGAGATCCCCCATAAAAGAATGGAGGAGATGAAGCCACCTCAAAATTGGCTTTATCAACTTCATAATTCCCCTGTTCACAGATAAAATCAAAACTTGTCAGCTATCAGTAAGTGGTCAACATACTAAGATTATCTAGAAAAAAATCAACTACAGTATTATGTTTCTTTGAAACCACTGTTTAGAATGTCTCATCTCTTCAAATTAGCTACTACTTCAATCGCATAAATCCCAGTTTATGTGTTTTAACTGAGAATGGAGTTTAAAAAGAAAGAATTTTGAAACTTTTGGTCTTTTGGTCTTAAACAGATATTTATGTAACAGAAAAATCGGAAGTTTAAAGCTATTTTTTAAAATATAAAAATGAGCTTTTTTTGGGAACAAACTATAAAAGAAAATGTGCTAAGTAAAATGAGGGATGGGAGGGAGTACAAAACTTGTTCTAAAGCAGAAAACTGCAGAGTTATGGAGTAGTAGTTTTAGCTATTCCATTCAAATGAGTGTCCCACTGCCTTATCTTACTAGTTAGGAGTAACAGAAAATGCCCAAAAGAAAGATGCAACATATCAAAGATGGATGATATAAATTTCTATTAGGAACCAAAATTTAAGATGATTTACTTGAATCCCCTTTCAAAAAGGAGGAAAAAGATCAGATTTTTATTTTCTTTTTCCAATAAAAAAGACATCTTGAGCAGAAAATCACCTTAGTGAGGATGATATCAAGCAGTTCAGTTCCGGCTTTCAAGTCGCGAGCCTCCATTTCTTGATTGCTAAAAATCCAAAAATAAAAACATCAAAATAAGCAAAAAGATAGAAAGAGAGAAGAAAAATTGAGATAAGCTTAAAGTAGGGAAGAAAAGGGCCTAACCTGATTTGCAGCAAATGACAAGGTCTGATTGGTTCTTCAGATGGAGAATTGAAAAAGCTAAGCTTACGGCGGGGCTTGGGGCAAACGACACCGTTTGACACAGAGATGATGTCTCCTCCTCTCACTGTCTCTCCAACTCCAACACAACCACCCACCAAAGCCTTCTGTTGACAGGCGTACATATTCATCTTCTCCTTTTTATTTATGTTCACAACAGATCCAAAGCCTAAAAATCAAAGTTAAATGTTTACAACTCTTAATTAAATCTCTACCTCCATATCCACAAACATATAACATATATATNGATTTTAGGGGAGAGTGAGGCGGAGAAGAAAGAGAGAAGAGATGGGATTGGGGACAGACTATTTATAGGAGAGAAGAGAGAAAACAAAATGCGTGATTATTCATTCTTTTCATTTGAATTTCTTTTTTCAGATATATTCTTTTCCTATCACGACGTCTATAAAATATTTCGGTACTGGTGTATAAAAATTCTTTTTATTATTATTAATAATTGTTGACGAACTGTATGAACAGTCAGTATGGCCAAATTTCTAAAATTAATGTATTTTGAAAAGTATTTTTGGTAAAAAATAATTTATATTTGTTAAGTATTTTAAGCATTAATTAGTATTTAATCAATATTTTAAAAAATTCTTCTAAATATATTTTCTCATATACTCTAAAGCTTTTCAAAAAGAACTTCTGTTTCTATTCAAAAGTATTTTTTCTTCTAAAAACATAGTCAAACTCCTCAACTTAAAAAAATAGCTTGGCCAAACATACTATAAATGCATAATGTAATAAGTAAGAATAATGTAGTATGTTTGCTTAAGCTTCTAAAATTAGCTTATTCTGAATTGTGCTTTTCAAAAGGCGTCTTTTGGTGAGAAGCAGTTTGTGTTGGCTAAATAATTTAAAACATACTTTTAAGCAGCAATTAGTGTTGGCCAAGCTTTTAAAAAAATACTTCTAATTTATTTTTTCAAATATGCTTTTAAAAAAATTCATTTGAAAAGAAGCAACTTTTTCTATTTTTTAAAAACTATTTCTGCTCTTACTTAAAAGTATTTTTTTTTCTTTCTAAAAGCTTGGTCAAACACCTTAATTTAAAAATTAAAAAAAAAATTTAGCCCCAAAAGCACTTGGCCAGAAAAAACCTTTGACCAAACATGCTTATTGTGAAGTTATAAAGTCCAATTTTTTCCCATTAGGAAAATATTTTAATCAATAAAACAACATAATTCACAGGTCATAAGAAAAAGATGTTTGGAAAAGGAAAAAGAAGAGGAACTTATTTACCTTCAGTGGCTCTTTTCTAGTAGTATAGTCAAAGCTACTGGTCAAATTTATGAAATTGAAATAACGATTGTATCCATTACTGATAGTGATAATGGCTAATAGAATTAGCGTCTAACTCGTCTGTTTTATCTTTTCAATAATATCCATTACTAAAAGTGATAATGGAGTTTGAAATGAGACTTTTATTTGGATGTATACACTGATAATGAGAATGGGAAACTGGGTCCCCCTTTGCTAAAAGGAGTTCACACTATTTTATTCTAAAACATTTTAAAATATATATATATTTCACACAATTGCATTTCTATATAGCTTTTGTTATAAGAAATATCAAAATATGGTGGATGTCTACTCTTGCTCTATGATCTTCATCTCAAATA